AGATAGAAACTGACCTGGCTCACGCCGGTCTGAACTCAGATCACGTAGGATTTTAATGGTCGAACAGACCAACCCTCAGGAGCTGCTGCACCCCTAGGTAATCCCGATCCAACATCGAGGTCGCAAACTTCCTTATCAATAAGAACTCTCCAAGAAAATTACGCTGTTATCCCTACGGTAACTTATTCCTCTAATCGCCCTTTACCGGCGGATCCCCGAAAAAGCAACACCTGCATGGAAGTTGGCACTTCACCAAATGCTTAATAAACGGAGGATAACTATTCTCCGCAGTTGCCCCAACTAAAGCTACAAGCACATAACCAAGCCGCCTAAACGGTAAACTCACCCCCTTTAAAAAAGAAAATTAGCCCCTAGGCGACCAAACCAACTTGTGCAACTAACTAAAGCTCGATAGGGTCTTCTCGTCCCACGATTACACCCCCGCTTCTTCACGAGGATATCAAATTCAAGATCTGGGAGGGAGACAGCTGAACCTCCGTCTTGCCATTCATACCAGCCCCCATTCAAAGGGCAAATGATTATGCTACCTTCGCACGGTCAAGATACCGCGGCCGTTTAACTAAGTCACCGGGCAGGCAGGACCCTTTATACATAAGAAAACTTTACAAAGGGCGATGTTTTTGGTAAACAGGCGAAGTCCCCACATTTGCCGAGTTCCTTCCCCTCATCTCTCTAATTCTTACCAGGCCGCTTGAGTTAGCAGACAGACAAAAGCGAACTATGCTTTCCCGCACATATATACTTCTTTCCATCAAAAATTAGGACTGCTTAATACACAAAAGGCCTACTCTACTTCTTTACTAATTCCAGCATTATAACTCCTGCAACCCCGCAGGACTCCCCCGTAAAATAGTCACAACATAAAACCCGCCTTACAAAAATCCGTCTACACGCCACGGGCTACATAAAACAAGCTTTAACGCCCTCGTTCGGATAGATGCCATTAATCCTACCACTAATCGAGACCCAATTAACGTGTTTCCCTGCGCATTTTTAACCCATGGCTCAGGCTTTTACCTCCTTGACAAGAAAGCTTATCCCTCCTTGTCTACGCTTTGAATTCCCATTAAGGATTTAATCATTATCCACGTGATAACACAACCTTAATAGCCAAACAAACATGGCTAACACCAATTTCCGGGGAAACCAGCTATCGTTGAGCACGATAAACATTTCACATCTAATGTACCCTCAAACCTTACTATTGCAACAGTAAAAGCCTTCTCCTCACTAGGAGAGTACACTAGCTCGCTCAAATTCGGGTACGGCAACTCTTTACCAAAATACTCACCGAACCATCATACAAAAGGTACAGGGCTTTACTCTTTCTTTCCTACTCTTAGATATTTCACGATATTTCAACTTTCCCTCACGGTACTACCCCTTTAGCTCTTACTACGAGTTTCACTGATAACCTACTACTCCTGCTTGTCCCAAACTATCAATATTTTGGTAAACTTAAAACATCACAGTTTTATTATTCCCTCACCCTTACAAGGCTAGTCTTTAAAAATCTAATTATTCCGTATAAAATCTACAGCAAAGAAGCGAACACAGGAAGACTCACCAGACCCAGCAAACTTACCCTTAAACCCCCGCAAAGAACCAAACCACGAACCGTAACAGCACCTGATTTTCCACCCAGCAGCCCCCGCCAACCAAAGAGAACTAAAGAATGTTGAGGAAACAGTACCAAACTCCTTTTAAAGGACACGCGGAGGTAATAAAACAAACTAAGCAAACTTCCTGCGACTAAAAAGCCCCTCGCCAGAATACTACCCCTCTCAAGAAGACACTTAAGAGAAACGAACTTTATCAGAAAGCCAAAAAGAGGAGGCAAACCCCCCAAGGAAAGCACACCCAGCACCATGCCGGCACTCCCCCCAAGACTAAAGTACGAGAGCCGACCTACATGGGATAAGGTCTTTAAATCAAACTCTCTCGCAATCAAAAACACCCTAGAATTAGTAATTACATAAACCAACAACATAATGCAACCGGCATTAACAGAATACCCCACGGTCGAACAGATCCACCCCATATGTGCTACCGATGAAAAAGCCAAGATCTTTCGCACCTGCGTCTGATTCAAACCACCTCACCCACCTATCAACACAGAAAGGACACCCAAACAGACCAACACCCGAATGTCTACGCTATTAATTACATACACCAAGACAGAAAAGGGAGCCAACTTCTGTCAAGTTGACAAAACCAAACCCTCCAGAAAGCCAACCCCCTGAACAACATCTGGGAACCAATAGTGACATGGAAAGAGCCCTAACTTAAGCCCCACGGCCAAGGTAATCAGCACGGAAGAAACCCTAAGTAAGGGTTGACCGACTAGCCACGAGGAACTAAACCAAGCTTGGATAACAACAACGTTCAGTATGACAGCAGCCCTCACGGACTGTACCAAAAAATACTTTACCGACGACTCTACCTTTCGAGGTAAAAACCCTCCACATAAAATAGGTAAAATAGACAAAGTATTCACCTCCAACCCCACCCACAAGGTAAACCAGTGATGACTTCTTAAGACAATAAAAGTTCCAAATACCACACTAATAACCAACACGATAAAAACCCTACGATGCATAAAACCTGGAAGGAGTTTAACCTTCAGCAACCTAATTATCAGCTAGGAACCCCTACTTTAGGGAGCAGGTTCTATACCAAAACCAAGCTGGGAGGCAAAATATCAACGGAAACCAGCAACACCCTATAAAATACCAACACCCCCAAACTGAAGGGTAAATACTTCTTCCAAGTTAAATACATCAAATGATCATACCGAAACCGTGGGTAAGACGCCCGAACCCATAAAAACAGAACAACCAGAAATACAGTCTTAACCCTCACTATCAGAACCCCCATAGGAAAAACACCCCCAAAGGGGCTTGAACCCCCAAAAAACAAGACCACCGAAAGAAGGTTCATAAAAATTATTTTCCCGTATTCTGCTATAAAGAACATAGCAAAAGGCCCCCCAGCATATTCTACTTTATACCCTGAAACAATCTCTGACTCCCCCTCCGTTAGATCAAAAGGAGCACGATTTGTCTCTGCCAAAGTAGAAACAAATCAGACTACAAACAAAGGTGAACAACAAAAGACCAACCAGGAACCTCCCTGACTTTTTTCAATCACCCTAAGGCTAAAGCCTCCCGAAAATACCACCACCCCTAACAAAATCAGCCCTAGACTTATCTCGTAAGAGACCGTTTGAGCAACAGCCCGAACAGCTCCTAAAAAGGAATAATTTGAATTAGATGCCCAACCCGACCCTAACAAAGCATAAACAGATAGCCTAGACAACCCCATCACCAAAACGAGCGATAGTTTAACTTCCAGCACACAAAAACCAACTGGAATAAGTGACCACAAAAAAAGCGCAATCCTTAAAAAGAGGATGGGGGACAAAAAAAACAAATAAGGCGAAGCTTTAGAAGGCTTTAAAGTCTCCTTTATAAGCAACTTGAACCCGTCTGCTAAAGGTTGCAACAGACCAAACGGCCCCACTACATTAGGCCCCTTACGAAACTGCATATAACCAAGAACCTTCCGCTCTACTAAAGTTAACAAAGCCACTGCTAACAACACCGGAATTATAAAAACAACTGATTTAACAATAAAAACTAACCCATCCACAACTAAAGAAAGGACTTGAACCTTCGATAGAGAAACCTTAGATTTCTTGCATTACCGCTTTGCTACTTTAGCTATTTCTATATATAAGAATTATCTGACATGCTTCACCCCTGATTGCAAGCAGGGACCCCTTAGTTGGAAGCCAAGAATACTGATGTACTCGTGAAACCTGGCGAGAGAAGGACTCAAACCCTCCTTATTGGATTTACAATCCACTACATTAACCTCTGCCATCTCGCCAAAGGGCTAGTTAAACTGATAACACCAGAATGTCAGACTGGAATTGCTGGCTAATAATCCAGCGCTCTTTGAAAATAAAGGGAGGTATCTATCCTTCCATTTTTGAGGTATGAACCCAAAAGCTTCTATTAGCTTACTTTACTTACTATTTTCCTAGGGTAGAGCTTGACCAAGCATCTCTTTTACACGGAGAAGATATCTGTGCAAACCAGATTACCTTGAAAGTTCTGGCGGATATTACCCGCGTCTATAGATTTGCAATCTAAAATGTTAATTACACTACAAAACCCAGGGGTTAAAAACCTCTCATTTTTATTTAAAGCTTTGAAGGCTATTAGTTTTAATTAACTTAAACCCCTTATTAGTGAATTTAGTTTAACAAAAACATTTGACTTGCACTTAAAAACTCTAAGTTTAAACCTTAGAATTCACAAGCTAGGAGAAGGACTCGAACCTTCGATATTAGATCCTAAATCTAGCGCAGTAACCACTTTGCTACCCTAACCTGAGTCGACAAGTATTGATCTTGTTATCTCCTGGTTAACGGCCAATTGCCTTTCCATTAGGCTACGACCCAAATAGAAAGTAGTTTAATAGGTAAAACAAAGAATTTTGATTTCTTCAACATAAGTTCAACCCTTATCTTTCTAGTCAGAAAAATAGGACTCTACACCTATACCAGCAACTCCCAAAGCTACCATTCTTGACTAAACTATTTTCTGTTTAACCTATATATAATGAAATTATAAACCATGCAACTAAGGCGATGATTTTTTTCAACAAAACACAAGGGCATCGGGACACTATATCTAATATTTGGGGCCTGAGCAGGAATGGTTGGAACAGCCATGAGAGTAATAATACGAACAGAACTAGCCCAACCAGGCTCACTCCTCCAAGACGACCAAATATACAACGTAATAGTTACAGCTCACGCTTTAGTAATGATATTCTTCATGGTAATGCCAATTATGATCGGAGGATTCAGTAACTGACTGATCCCTCTAATGATCGGAGCACCCGATATGGCCTTCCCCCGAATGAACAACATGAGCTTTTGACTAGTACCCCCCTCTTTTCTACTACTCCTAGCATCAGCCGGAGTAGAAAGAGGCGCTGGAACCGGATGAACCATCTACCCTCCATTATCTAGCGGCCTAGCCCACGCCGGAGGATCAGTGGACCTTGCAATATTCTCACTCCACCTTGCAGGAGCATCCTCTATCCTGGCCTCCATAAAATTCATCACTACTGTAATAAACATGCGGACCCCAGGAATCTCGTTCGACCGTCTACCACTATTCGTCTGATCAGTATTCGTAACAGCATTTCTGCTACTCCTTTCCCTTCCCGTTCTAGCTGGAGCTATAACAATGCTTCTCACCGACCGAAACGTAAACACAACCTTCTTTGACCCCGCGGGGGGAGGAGACCCTATTTTATTCCAGCACCTTTTCTGATTCTTTGGGCATCCAGAGGTGTACATTCTTATACTTCCAGGATTTGGAATGATATCCCACGTAATCGCTCACTACTCAGGTAAGAGAGAACCTTTTGGCTACCTAGGTATGGTCTACGCTATTGTGTCTATTGGGATTTTAGGGTTTCTAGTGTGAGCTCACCACATGTTTACAGTCGGTATGGACGTAGACACTCGGGCATACTTCACAGCTGCAACAATGATAATAGCCGTACCCACAGGAATCAAGGTCTTCAGGTGAATGGCAACGCTACAAGGCAGGAACCTCCGATGAGATACACCACTGCTTTGAGCCCTAGGATTTGTATTCTTATTTACCATTGGGGGACTGACAGGCGTAATCCTGGCAAAATCATCCATCGATGTCATCCTCCACGACACCTATTACGTAGTCGCCCACTTCCACTATGTCCTATCAATGGGTGCAGTGTTTGCTATTTTCGCAGGATTCACACACTGATTCCCTCTCTTTTCTGGAGTAGGACTACACCCCCTATGGGGGAAGATCCACTTCGCATTAATGTTCATAGGAGTAAACCTCACCTTTTTCCCCCAACACTTCCTAGGATTAGCAGGTATGCCACGACGATACTCCGACTACCCGGACGCCTATACCCTTTGGAATACTATCTCATCCATAGGCAGCACCATATCCCTCGTAGCAACACTGATATTCCTATTTATCATTTGGGAAGCCTTCACTTCCCAGCGAACCACTGTTCGACCCGAATTCGCACCCTCCTCACTAGAATGACAATACTCTTCCTTTCCCCCCTCCCATCACACCTTCGACGAAATTCCGGCAACCGTATACTTAATTAAGTATGAGGATTAGTTTAACAAAAACATTTGACTTCGACTCAAAAAACTTCAGTTACACCCTGAAATCCTTTTATTACACCTATCTTTATTAGCACCATATCCATATACTACCTAGGATTACTAGGTATATTAATTAATCGGCTACACTTCTTGTCTATCCTCCTCTGCCTTGAACTTCTCCTAATATCGCTGTTCCTAAGAATGACAATATGGGCACTAAAAACCGGAACCAACCTCTTCGTAGCGAAAAACCTTATCCTTCTTACTCTTTCTGCCTGCGAAGCAAGGGCCGGCCTTTCCCTTATGGTAGCACTTTCACGAACTCACAAATCAGACTTAGTCATAGCACTGAATATCTTACAACAATAAATGGCAAATTGAACCCAACTAGGATTACAAGACGCATCTTCCCCCCTAATGGAAGAACTAATCTATTTTCATGATTACACTCTAATCATTCTTACCCTAATCACAATACTAGTCTTCTACGGGTTAGCATCACTCCTATTCTCCTCCAGAACAAACCGGTTCTTTTTAGAGGGGCAAGGACTAGAAACCATATGAACAATCATTCCCGCTATTATCCTTATATTCATCGCACTTCCCTCCCTCCAGCTCCTCTACCTCATGGACGAGGTAAAAAACCCCTTCCTCACCATAAAGGCGATAGGACACCAATGATACTGGAGATACGAATACGCAGACTACCGTGAATTAGAATTTGATTCATACATGATTCCCACTTCAGACCTTTCCTCTGGTATGCCCCGCTTACTAGAAGTGGATAAACGACTGATACTCCCCGCCCAAACGCCAATCCGAGTATTGGTATCCTCTGCAGACGTCCTCCACTCCTGGGCGATCCCTTCCCTCGGAGTAAAGATGGATGCGGTCCCAGGACGACTAAACCAAGTGAAATTGTTCATTTCCCGGTGCGGCATATTCTATGGTCAATGCTCAGAGATTTGCGGGGCAAACCATAGATTCATGCCCATAGTCATTGAGACCACAAAATTTTCCTCATTCGAAACATGAGTATCTAACTTCTTAACGGAATCTCTGGTAAGCTAATACGGAAGCATCAAACTCTTGACTTGAATAAAAGTGGAAGTCCACCCACTACCAGAGAGATGCCACAACTAAATCTAGCCTGATGATTGTTTAAATTCTTAATTAGATGAATAACATTACTTATAGTCTTCACTGCTTTGCTTAGCACACCTCCAATAGAAAAGCCGACTAAAGTCAGAGCCCAAACCACCTCACACCCCTTAAAAGTATGAACCTGAAACTAAAAAACATATTCGGCCAATTCTCCCCAGACCTCGTAGCTCTGGTCCCCATGACCCTGATCGCCTTAGTCCTCAACCTAGGGTGACTCTCTTTAACAAGAGGAACAAACTGACTCCCCACTCGAAGGGGCGCTTTAATCCAAGCCTTTAAGCGAGAAACTCTGAAGATACTGTTCCAGCAAGCCAACCCCAAAGTTGCGCCCTGAATCCCAGCTTTTACCTCTGTATTTATCTTCATCTTGTCAGTAAAAGTATTAGGACTACTACCGTATGCCTTCACCTCACCAAGCCACATATCACTTACTTATTCTATAGGCATCCCCTTCTGAATGTCAGTAAATATCCTTGGATTCTATCTAGCGTTCAAAAGTCGACTAAGACACCTAGTACCTCAAGGTACCCCCTCCTACTGGATCCCTCTAATGGTAATAATAGAAACAATCAGACTATTTGCACAACCCATTGCATTGGGCTTGCGATTAGCCGCCAACCTAACAGCAGGGCACCTTCTTATTTACCTCCTCTCTACAGCAATTTGAATCTTAGCAAAATCCCCCCTTATAGCCGGAGTACCCCTCTCAATATTTTTCCTCCTCTTCCTTCTGGAAATAGGAGTAGCCTGTATTCAAGCCTACGTGTTCACTGCACTAGTTAAATCCTACCTTGCCCAAAACCTATAAAAATTATGGCCCATCAACACCCCTACCACCTAGTAGACCAAAGACCCTGACCCCTCACCGGGGCTATTAGCGCTCTCATGATGACTTCCGGTCTAATACTATGATTCCACACAAAAAGAAACTCACTACTTATTGCAGGGACTCTGCTCCTTACCCTAACTATCCTAAAATGATGGCGAGACGTAATACGAGAAGCAACATTTCAAGGCAGACACACCCTACCGGTTAACACCGGGCTGCGATACGGAATGATACTTTTTATTACCTCGGAGATTTGCTTTTTCTTCGCTTTCTTCTGAGCATTCTTCCACAGCAGCCTAGCACCAACCATTGAGCTAGGTGTATCCTGACCCCCAACTGGAATTAGTCCAATCAACCCCTTTCTGGTTCCTCTCCTCAACACCGCCGTCCTACTCTCATCCGGGGTAACAGTCACTTGAGCCCACCACAGCATTCTAGCCGGAAACCGCACAGAATCCATACAAGCCCTATTTCTAACAATAGCCCTGGGTATATATTTCACCGCCCTGCAAGCCTGAGAATACTACGACTCACCATTTACCATAGCCGACAGAGTATATGGCTCTACATTTTTTGTGGCCACCGGCTTCCACGGACTTCACGTACTCATAGGAACAACTTTCCTCTTAATATGCTTCTTACGATTAATATTCTTCCACTTTTCCAACAACCACCACTTTGGCTTCGAGGCGGCTGCCTGATACTGACACTTCGTAGACGTAGTCTGACTATTTCTATACGTTTGCATCTATTGATGAGGATCCTAAGAGAAGAAAGGACTCGAACCTTTATCTTTCTAGTTTCAAGCTAAACGCATCCCACTCTGCCACTTCTCCCCCAAATAATTCTTATATACCAAATAAAAATTTACAAATTTACTATCACTCTAACATCAATCCTCCTGATAACAGGATTAATCACTGCCGCGGCTCACGCTCTACCCAACCGAAAAATAGACCTCGAAAAGTCCTCGCCCTACGAATGTGGGTTTGACCCCTTAAAACACGCACGCATACCATTCTCTTTTCGGTTTTTCCTAGTTGCTATCTTATTCCTCCTATTCGACCTGGAAATTGCCCTATTATTCCCGTTCCCCGTAAGGGCATTTTTTATGTCCCCAAACACCTCGCTAGAACTGGCTATAGCATTCTTACTAATACTTACACTTGGGCTAGCCTTCGAGTGGTCCCAAGGAGGTCTCGACTGAGCTGAATAATAAACTAATGATATATCTTATCTTGGCCTCCTCGTCAAGCCTGATCCTATCTTGGGCCGTCCCCCGAACACTTCTATGACCCTCAACCATAATTTGTTCACTCATCATCTCCAGACTAACTCTTAACCTAGCCCAAAAACACATACCTTCATTATGACACAAAATCTCCGCTAGCTTCGCTACCGACCCTCTAGCTTCACCTCTAATAACCCTGAGCATATGGCTTGGCCCTTTATCCCTCATAGCCAGAATAAAAACAATAAAGAGCCTACCACTAATAAAACAGCGCACTTTCATTTCCCTTATATTTATCATACTGACTGCCCTAATCCTTACATTTGCCTCGCTTGAATTAACCCTATTCTACATCGCATTTGAAACGACCCTTCTTCCAACACTAATTCTCATATCCCGCTGAGGGGCAAAAAAGGAACGGTATCAAGCTAGCACATACTTCCTTTTTTATACTCTCGTAGGTTCCCTACCCCTCCTCATAGCCATCATAAGCATCTACACCGTAACCGAATCATCTTTACTACCAGCCATTTTCCTTGGAAAAAAAATAACATCACTCCCCACTGCATTAACCTCCATATGATGAATCTTCTGCCTTATAGCCTTCATAATAAAGATGCCGATTTATGGATTCCACCTGTGACTCCCTAAGGCTCACGTAGAAGCCCCCATAGCTGGGTCAATGATTCTTGCAGCCATCCTCCTGAAGCTCGGGGGATACGGCCTCGCCCGAACCATCACAATATTTATTATACCCGCTTCCGTAAAAATATCATTCCCACTCACAACCTTCTGCATATGAGGCGCTCTAATAACAAGGATCATTTGCCTACGACAAACAGACCTGCGGTTCTTCGTCTATTCATCTTGTCCGGGCCACCTGAGATTAGTAGCTTCTGGCATATTCTCAATATCCCTCTGAGGGATGAAAGGCGCTCTTACTCTCATGATCGCTCATGGATTAATATCCTCAGCCCTGTTTTGTCTTGCAAAACTCCTCTATGAACGAAACACCACTCGAACCCTTTCAATAACCCGAGGCTTCAAGCTGGTTACCCCACTACTTACTGTATGATGAATAATAACATGTGTAACAAACCTGGGACTACCCCCTACTCCCAACCTAATTGGGGAACTTCTCATTATATCTACCATTATAGACTGGAAAATCTTATCTACACCCATAATCACTACAGCAACAATATTTGGGGCCTTATACTCCCTCCTAATACTAGTTAACACTAACAAAAACTCCTTCCCAAGTTTTATTACAAAAGCTCGCCCGATAACCACTTCGGAACACACCCTAATGGCTCTCCACCTCATCCCCCTAGCATTTATAATATTCAACCCCTCCCACATACTAATAAAATAACCCCAATGACTAAAGTAGTTTAATAAAAACGCTAATTTGTGGTATTAGAATCACCAGTTAAAACCTGGTCTATAGTCCGAAACTTATTGGCTTATTCTAGTCCTGCTAAGTCCAAGAATCTGTAGTTCAATTCTATAGAAGTTTCGATGGTAATAGAAATCACGAGAATAATTGCAACCATAAAAGTCACCATTATAACCATACTATTTGTCTCCATATTTTGCCTCCAGGGAACTACATTGCCCTATAAAAGAGGCCCTAACCTTAACTTTGGAGCACTTCATGATAAAAAGTTCGAATACACACACAAAAGAAGGCTATTATTTTCATCTGTACTAAAGAGATCAGCCCTCCTCTCACTCATACCGCTCTTCCTGAAAGTAAAATTCAAAACCCCAGAGACAATAGTCTCCGTAACCGAATGACTTCCCAAAAACGCACATCTCATTAACCTCGAACTACGATTCGACCTTTCATTCAAACTATTCTTTTCAGTTGCACTATTCGTCTCCTGATCAATCCTAGAGTTCTCACACTACTATATGGCACAAGACCCAGCACCGAACAAATTCTTCCGCCTCCTAATAATTTTCCTACTAAAAATGATCATACTCACCTCCACTGAAAACGTATTCCTTTTATTTATAGGCTGGGAAGGAGTCGGATTCTTATCATTCTTATTAATAAGATGATGAACTACACGAGCAAGAGCAAAAAAATCTGCCCTTCAGGCAGTAATCTACAACCGAATAGGAGACATAGGTATACTCCTATCTTTCTCCCTCAGGGTTACAACCTTTAACTCCTGAACTTTATCGGAAATATTTATCCTACAGCCCAGGGGCTCTCTCAGGAATATTCTGCTAGTTGGAGCCCTCATAGCTGCCGCGGGAAAGTCCGCCCAATTCGGTTTACACCCCTGACTCCCAGCAGCAATGGAAGGGCCCACCCCTGTATCAGCCCTCCTCCACAGCTCTACAATGGTAGTAGCAGGAATATTCCTTCTAATCCGCCTTGGTCCTGTATACTCAAACGTAAAAACCTTTAAAACGTGATGCCTTATACTAGGCTCCATCACGGCCATATTTGCTGCAACAACCGCAATCTCTCAACACGACATAAAGAAGATAATAGCATACTCCACTACCAGGCAACTAGGGCTCATGATGGTAGCCATAGGCCTAAACCAACCAGAAATTGCACTATTCCATATTTGCACACACGCATTCTTCAAGGCAATGCTGTTCCTATCCTCTGGTAGAATCATCCACAGACTAAAGGACGAACAAGACATACGAAAGATGGGCGGGCTCCACCTAATACTCCCCAACACAACCGCTTGTATTATCCTGGGAAGACTTGCCTTATCTGGTACACCATTCCTGGCCGGATTTTACTCCAAGGACCTAATATTAGAATTAGGCCTCTCTAAACTTTCGAACCTGATAGGAATTGTTTTGGCCCTTCTAGCAACCCTCCTAACCGCGGCATACTCATTCCGCATCATACACTTCTGCTTCACCAAAAGACCAGCCTTCTCACCCCTTTCTCCTACCAGAGAAGAAAAAATCAAACTAACCAAAGTGTTAAAACGACTAGCTATTGGTACAATAATCTCAGGATGGTTAATATCAAACTTTATCCTACAGCCCCCGAAAATCACCATCAGACTCACCCTTAAGAGCCTCGCTGCCCTATTAACTGTTTCCGGAATAGTATTAACAGCATCACTACTTCGCACTCTTTCCCTAAAAATGCCCCCCAAAAACCTCATAAACGCCAAAACATTCACCACAAAACAGTGATTTTACGAACACGCATCCCACAACATCCTCACGAGCTTATCTTTCTCGCTCTCTTTAACAGGAAGAACCCAAAGGATAGACCGAGGATGAAGAGAAAATCTAGGCGCACAAGGAATAAACTCGGCCTCTTCTGAAATTTCCCGGGAGTACCAACTAACCCAAACAGGCTATATTAAGCAGTACCTTCTCCTCTCTACCACCACTTTCACCATTATAGCCATAGTCTCCACCACCTTTCTATAATAACCAACACCGCACTCTGTACACTCATAACAACTGAACACAAACCTAACCCTACAGGGCCTTTAATATTTTATATTCCGCCCCATAAGTAATCACTAGCGCAACCACTAGAGCAATAAAAAGTACGAACCCCCCTACCAACAAGTAGCCCCCCAACGCTTTATATAAAGCCCCACCCCCCACAAGATCCCTCTCTACTGTCATAGACCACCCCCCAAGCGAGAAGCTCAAGAAAGGATCAAACCTCACGAAAGCCCAAACGACACCTACACCCCTTAAGAGGAGTACCTCATTCAGGTTGCTCACTGCCGGGTACCGCTCCGCAGATATAGCCGTAGAATAAACAAAAACAACCAACATTCCCCCCATATAAATAAGAACAAGCACCAAGGCCACAAAGGAAGATCCTAGGAGCCCACAAAGAAAGCACCCCGACACGGCCACTAAGACCAAACCTAGAGCACCAAAATAAGGAGATAACCTATAAAACACCAGAGTACTTCCAAAGGGCATAACAACTATCACAGCATAAAAAACCATTATATATAAAAATTATGACAGGCCCTCTCCGAAAGAGACACCCCTTATTTAAAGTAGTAAAAAATTTCCTAATAGACCTCCCCTCCCCTAGGAAACTGTCCATATGTTGAAAATTCGGGTCCCTATTAGGCCTTTGCCTGATCACCCAAATAATCACAGGCCTATTTCTCGCTATGCAATATACCTCAGATATATCTCTAGCCTTTTCGTCCATCAGCCACATATGCCGAGACGTAAACTATGGTTGACTCCTACGAAATATACACGCCAAAACGGCCTCCTTCTTTTTCCTTTGCATTTATTTCCACATAGGCCGAGGATTATACTACGGCTCCTACATAAAAAAGGAGGCCTGAAAAGTAGGCGTTATCCTCCTTCTCCTCACCATGCTAACAGCTTTCGTTGGGTACGTTCTCCCATGAGGCCAAATGTCATTTTGAGGAGCAACAGTGATCACAAACCTTGTATCTGCCCTCCCCTATATAGGAACATCAATAGTCCAATGGCTTTGAGGAGGATTCTCAGTTGACAACGCCACCCTCACCCGATTTTTTGCCTTCCATTTCCTATTTCCCTTCATCATCACCGCTCTCTCGGTCATCCACCTATTCTTCCTCCACCAAACTGGTTCTAACAAACCTACGGGAATAGAATCAAAGTTTGATAAGACCCCCTTCCACACCTACTTTTCCTATAAGGACCTCACGGGGTTTGTAGCTCTATTTACCCTGATAAGCGCAATAGTTCTTTTATCCCCAACCTTACTTAGAGACCCCGAAAAATTCAAACCCGCTAACCCTTTAGTTACACCAGTTCACATCCAACCGGAATGATACTTCCTTTTCGCCTACGCGATCCTCCGATCCATCCCCAAAAAGTTAGGAGGCGTAATAGCCTTATTAGCATCAATCCTCATCTTGTTCATGGTCCCAATCCTCCACACATCAAACAACCAAGCTAGCACCTTTCGACCTGTTTCACAAAGACTCTTCTGATGTCTTACCACCATCTTCCTGTTCCTAACATGAATAGGAAGGCAACCCGTAGAAGACCCATTCATCCTCCTCGGGCAAATAGCCTCAACGGCTTACTTCCTCTTGTTCTTGTTCGCGATTCCTCTAACATCAGAACTAGAGAAAAAGCTGATTTTCTGCAAAGATAGCTTAACAGAAAAGCAAAGCACTGAAAACGCTTAAATAAAGGTTCGAGTCCTTTTCTTAGCAACCGATTTGGTCCTAGTCCTTCCCTCAACTTTCTCCAGGATGATACATGCAAACCCCTAAGTTCTACGGTGAGCTCAATCTGCTTCTGGCCTCTTCCAAGACACCAGGACACTAAAAATAGCATCAGGCACCATTCCTCGTAGCCCAAGACGCTAAGGCCTACCCAAACAAAGATAGCCCACACCTGCAAGTACTTGACATTACACAATAAGCGCTAGCTTGATGCAGCCGTAGAGAAAAAAACCGGTAAATTATGTGCCAGCCACCGCGGTTATACATAAGATTTTAGTTGAGGGCCTCGGTAAAAAGGTGATAAAAATGCACCAGAGTCCTCGCCCCCTCAAGCAGTAATAAGCTAACAGGACCCTAAGAACTATTCCACCAAACCCTGCCCTACCCAAACCCTTGATATTTATCACCAAAGCTCAAAGATAAACTGGGATTAGATACCCCATTATATGAGCCCTAAAACAACCTAAACACCTGAGAACTACGAACAAGAGTTTAAAACTCAAAGGACTTGGCGGTTTTCCAGACCTCCTTGGAGGAGCTTGCTATCTAACCGATAACCCACGAAATACCTCACCAGCCTTTGCAAACCGCAGCCTGTATACCATCGTCGTCAGTCTACCCTTTAAAGACAGTATACTGAATGGAGTAAATTGTTATATCTCCTCTACGTCAGATCGAGGTGCAGCTCATAAGCTGGGGATAAGTGAGCTACAATAACTAACTAACAGGCCCTCTAAACCAAGATATGGACAAGCCCATGAAAACCGGGACTCAAAACAGGATTCAGCAGTAACGCCTAACAGAGAATAGGTGTGAAGCACACAGCTCTGGAATGCGCACACATCGCCCGTCACTCTCGTCCACAGAGGAGAAAAGTCGTAACAAAGTAGGCGTATTGGAAAATGCGCCTGGTACAAATTCTTATAGTTGAACCACAACAGCAGCTTTTCACGCTACAAGCTTGGGTTAGACCCCCAATGAGAATTGCACAAGCGCCTCAAAAGCTGACGGGTAAGCAATTAATCTTGTAAATTAAAAGGCGAAGGTTCGAGTCCTTTTTGAGGCTTCCCATAACCCCCCCCCCCTCCGGGGGGGGGGTTAGCTGGGTATAAGTTTGTGTTCTTGAGAAAGCTATACAGGGCCAAGGTATTATGCAAACCTCCCCTATGGGGTAATACAATACGGAAAGATACACCTTTTTTCTTACTTTTCCGCTCCGCGGGGGGATAGTTAGGGTAAGGCTACATAGGCTAAACCCAGTTTATACGCCATCCTACACTCTAGTTATAAGTTCTTTCTGATACAGGATTAATACTAAACAATGACAGTACCCGCTTTACCGTCTTATCAAAAAACCACGGTCACGTAGGCCCTATGCAACTATATAACTATCGACGTCACACTTTAACCCAGTTTTTAAACCCTAAACCTCTCACGCAGAGGCTTGACGTTTCCACTGCCTGAAGCTACCGCAACCGCAGACACCAAGAACCAATCTTTATTTTACAACAGAACCTTCAAAAGTGTTTACCTTAAGATATTGACACCACCCCTTCGATCCTTTCGTACTAGAAGGGACCCTTGCTCTATTCAATCGT